AAACCGAGGGAGCTGGAGCGCGTGGTCCTTGCCTGCCTTTGAGATGCCTGTCACAAATTGTTCCCGACAGGTACAAGAAAATCCTCGTGTCTGACCCATGCTGAGTCCTGGATGTTGATCCTCGTTCTCTCCGAGCTCCATCCATGGTTTACTGTGCCTGTCTTCCAGCCAGGTGACCCGTGCCTGAGCATTGCCTACGTGCTCTTAAGGGATGGATAAAAGAAGTCCCCTTCTAGAAAACGAAATTTAGTTCCCTATAGGGATTATCCAACTCAAGGAACTGAACCAAAAGCAGTTGTTAGCTCAGCACATCTAGCATTTCAAGCTGCTCTGCAGAGTTACCAGTTCCTCATTTCGTGCTTACAAGATTTTTCAGGTCTCTGTGCTGCTGAGGCACAGGGAAATGCAGTTATTGAGGACAGAAACACTCTGTTGTGGTCGGAGCAAGTATCCTGTATCCTTACAGGACGGATGTGGGGAGCACAGTGTCGGGCAACGGCAGGGAAGACGTGCACACGTGTGTGCTGCACGGAGGTAGGAGCAGCTGCCCCTTCTTTGACAGCTCAGTGGTTTTAATGTTAAATACCAGAATTAAGGTCTAAATGTGGCTTCATCCTACCAGTTATTTTCCCTTCTCAGAAGCTGGTCTACTCTGCGTCTGCAGGACTGACCCAAACTGTCCCTGTTTTCCAACAGACAACGGAAAGTCTGTGTGAAGAACCCTTGGAAATTTCCATGGACACTCAAGCGTTACGGTAGCAATCTGAAGCAAAACTCTTGTGCAATACAGGATCTATAAATGGGCAGAGGTCAGCTAACCTGTGTTACTGCTACGAGCTGCAAATAATTCTGCAAGTTCTCATTCACCAACAGTTGTGTAATCATTGAGACTATCAGTCTCCAAGATAAATACTGTAAAGATAAGGCAGTGTCAAATGAGTTGCCTTTGCCTTCTTTATGGCTTTTTCGAAGAGCTGACCGTGGATGCTGGCTGTGCTGGGGTCTTGTCTTGCAGCAACACTATCGTGCAGCACCCAAATACTTTGTTGTAACTTTTTTACAGACGTCCAGTTGGAAGCCTGTTCTATAAAATGTACCTGCCCTGATTCAACAGAGCCTTCACGTATGCTCGAGCCCTGCGCTGAGGCATGGTTAAACAACACTTGAACATGTTCTTAAGCATCTGCCTAAGTGCTTGGTTGAGTTTAGGTGGTTGAGTTTGGGTGCTATGGTTTGTACAGAAAAGCAAAGGGAAGGCTGCAGATCTGCGTGATGAAGAAGGGAGAAATGGAGTGAAGCATTGGAGGGGGGAGCTGGATAAATTAGAGGTGTTCTGATTTTTCTCTCCAGGAAGATGGACATGGGAAATGTTCTCTACAGTTCCTAAAAAGCATCTTTTGAAGCTGCTGCTTGTTTTGTACCACCATTTCCTCTACTAATTGACACAGTTGCTGTTGTCACTTATTTAACAAATCGGTGCAAGCACAAACAAGGACAAAAATAAGTGTCTGCTAATATGAGCAGATTTATCTGTTCTCATCCCCACGCCTTTTCCCACCAGCGTAGCTTCTCTGAAGCTTGTTGAGCAAACCTGAGTGCCAAGTATTTAATCTGATCCGTGAGCAGCAAAGGGTGCTAAGAGCAGGGCGGCTTTCTTTGCACGTTAGTGGCATCTCTAAACAAAAGACAGGTGCTGGAGCAGCCTCTTCTCAGAATGACAGAGGAGGAATTTTGGATTGGGATGTAGCTTAAATTGGTCTGTAGCAATCACTTATTATGTGTTATGGAAAACATTACACTCGAGTTGTAAGTGCAGGAAAGTCACAGGTCAGAGTAAACCTAAGAGAAATCCAACACCAGCTCTGCCAATTTGTGGTGATAAATACAGATCATGTGTGTTGCTGCTGTAATCCTTGACTGCATGGGAGAGTCCAGCAGCCCCAAGACAATGCTGTTCCCTTCAAGCCTCAGTGAACCCCTCAGCCCAGAGTTCTGTGCTTTGCCCGTGCTCGTCTTGCCGGCAGCGTGACTTCTGACCATGCTGAACAGCCCTGCGTCCCTTGGTCTTGCACGCTCTCCTGGCACTTGTCAGGGTAGCACAGCTGGAAACTTTAGATAATTCCTATGTGGCCAGTTTGTGCTTTGCCTTCCTGCCCTGCCGGGTCCCTTCTGCCCCTTTGCTGTGGGTGCTGTGATGGTTCGGTGATGGGCCAAGTGATTGCTCAGCCTCATTTGTCCATCAGGAGGTTCAGGTGGGATTTATGTGCTCCAGAGCCTTCAGGAGCCACAGCTGGCAGGTGCTGAAAAAAATCATCGTTATTTTATTGGTTTGGTTTTGTCCCTGTTTTTAAAGTTAACTTGAGTTACATGTGGGGAGCGTTATTTTCCCTTGTAGCCATCCTTAAGGCAAGAAGCTACCTCTGAACTGTTTGGTTGGTGGCATATCAGCCGTGGCCCTGCAGGTTCTTTCTTCCTTTCCTTGATCTTCCAAAACAAATCAGTCAGTGTTTAGCACAGTGCCGAAATGTCCCCACACAGTTTCCTCCAGCGGTTTTCCCACTGGTCCTGCATGGCAGACATGGGATGCCCGGGCAGTGCTGGCCGGGACTTGGTGCAGAACGACTTGGCTGGAGCTCCCACGAAGGGGGAAACACGTTCCCTCAAGATCACGCTTCTGTTTTGTAGTTTCAGTCCTGTGCTTAGTAATAAGTAATTCTTTTGTTGCCTGAACGCGGAGCGTTTCCTCTAGAAGGCTCAGGCAAACATCCCTGCTCCCCGAACAACAATGGTAAATGTTTAAAAGCCAAGGACGCGGAGTTAATCTTCACTTTTGGGTTGTGACCTTCCAGTGTTCCGAAGCCATCTCCGCTGGGAGATGTCTCCAGCAGCCTGTATGGCCGCGGTCCGGGCGCGATGGCATTGCCATCGGCAGCGTTCCTGTGCCATGTACGTGGCAGCAGCGTCTGGAAGGGGCCAGTTTGGTGCCTCTGCCCTGGCCGAGGAGTGGCAGAGCCCTGGGCAGGCTCCAGTGCTTGCCGGGTGCGGGCCCATGCAGGGGGTTCCAAGAGAAGCCCAAAGCCCAGCCACCCCCACCACTCACTCGCCATATTCCAGTGATTTCTGTAACCTGCTGCCAACACCTTTTGTCTGTAGGAAACACGCTCTTGGGAGGAGAAACAAGTTGGCAGAGACTTGTTTAGAGGTGCCTGAACTGGGATTCCTTCGTCGCTCTGGCCTGCCCCTTGTCTGGTGCGTGGCCAGCAACAGCCCTCCCTGGGACAGGCAAGTGGAAATTTCCTTCCTATCCCCAGTGTCTTGTGAAAACATCATAAAACATCCGTGGCATTCTTCACCCTTGCTTACGAGAGGCAAAAAAATATCTATAAACCGAATCCTGGATTGCCCACCACAAACACGAGGCGCCGCAGGCGATTGCTCAAGGAGCTGCAATGCCGCGGCGGGGGGGGTGCATCCCCGCCGGGGACCGCGGCCCCG